GTGGGGGTGGGGGTTGGTCGGAAACGAAACTGCTCCGCTGGCGGGCGGCACAGAAAATCTAAATAAAGAAGAAACGTGGGACAGAATCACGGTCACGCAAAAAGGGACCTGCCCACACGACACGGGCGCTAGGAAAGAGGCAAGAGTTTAGAGGGAGGTCTGGAAAGCGCAGGTCTGAGTAAGGTTACCACAGCATCACCTGCTCTCACTCACAGCACGGCGATCTAGACCATCACCCCTCTGCACAGAGCCTGACAAATCAGCCACAATAATTGAGACATACACAGAATGGGACTCCAGCCACAGCCTGCAAAAACAGCCCCCCAAAAATATAAAAATCGCTGGTGTCCCAATCCAGGGTGTATGTACCCTGCCTTGTTGGCTGCCCCGCAACCCTCAACCGGAAGAAGCGTTTGGAAAATGGACCGACGGGGAAAAACGCAATCCCTTCTCGCCGCTGTTCCTTCCTCTCCTTCTACACACCTGGCTGGGTTCGTCCGCTGGAGCACCCCCAAAAACACCTGCGTTCGCCTGCGAGAACCATCAGCACTTCTCGAAAAGCCACATCTACCCTCTCCCCAGCTGAAGCTGCTCCGGAAACCACTGCTCCTGGCCTGCGTGGCGTGACGCGCCAGGCGGCGTGTGGTACTGTGGCGAGGGCAGGGGAGAGATGGCGCTTCCCTCGCGTTCAAATGAATGGCTTGTCTGTCGGTGCCTCATCCGCGAGGGTCGGAGCTTTTCGCCAAGTCGCCGTTCTGCGCTGTGTCCCTGCCCGGTAAGATGCACGTTTCAGCATCACACTGGGGAGCCAGAGGTTGATGGTTTAAGGTCCACAGGGGTCGTCTCGAGACTTTGTCGATCACCGGGACCGCCCGCGAAGATTAAGACCCACTTGTTTACAAGACCCGTGCAGTGTGGCCAAGACTGATTCAGTGCAACTTTAAAATTAAAGCAAGGTCAAATCAGTTTTAAACAGAAAAAAAAAATCAATAGTAAACAGCTTCCCTACCAAGGCTTGCAGCTGTTTTAAACTGCAGAAAAATGCAAAGTAAAGTGAACTTAGAATGTCGAGCAGTTTTGAGGGCATTTACACTGGATTAAGCTGGGATAAAGTAGTTCTACAGAGGCCAGAGAATGAAGGACCCATTTCATTACCTGCTGCACTAGGAACAGCGAGAAGAAAGGACCTCTGTGGAATGCAATTCAGAATTTAGATCTGCAACGCAAAGCCTTTAAAAAATGTGCACAATGGCTTTAGCTTCTAAATCCACAGCGGAAAGGATGTGGCTTGTGTCCTGACTGTACGCCATGTTTATACGGCACAGTCTGACAAATGTGAAAACTTGCGACTCCTACACAGAGGCAGAGCTCCTACATGCATGAGCAAACGACACTAACCTCTGGGCTACAGCTTGTATTTTCAGCACAGGAGCGGAAAGTGGCTCTCTCTGCTGGCTTCACAATGCCCCTGACTCACGTTTGTTTATTTCAGTTCAGCTGCTTGTGCTCGGATTATGATGTCAGACATTGTTATGTCTGAAAATCAGTTTCTTTCTGCTTGAGACCCCCAGGGGTGGGAACAATGTCACAAACCCTCATCAGGCTGTTTCAGGGGCTGAAACTACACAGGTCGGCAATATTTCTCTGCGCAACTCCTACGTCTGAAATGCCTTCTGTGACTGAGTCATGCAAAGCAGCTGCATTCCCATCAACACTGAAGAGCCTAATATGAAAAACAAGACATCCGTCTGTTTTAAGGGTACGCTACAGTCCCTAAAGGGGTTTCCTGCATTATTTCGCTTACAGCATGAAAAGCACAAACCAAACTAATTCATACAGAAATATGCTCGGACGGACAAATTCATAACTAAGCCCTCGGCGGCTGTGTCCAATCACAGGCCGCTCGTCTCCTGTCAATCAATTAGAAACAGGCCAAGGACAGAGCAGCCCGACGATCCACTTGGCAGGGACACTGGTCGCTCTCCAAAGACAGGAGAGCAGGCCACCTTGAAGGAGACAATTTGCCCAGAAGGCTCCCTTTCATTTAAGCCCTCAAGTTAAAAAAAGGAATCCCCGATGACAGCGTTTGGACTGAAACACCCCTGCACACCTCTTCAGCAGGCCGCCTGCATTCTGAGGCTACAAGAGCAACAGGACCATCACGGACAGCGGGAGCTGGCAGGGAGAGAGACAACATGGCAGGACTCCAAGACAGGAGGGGAGGAGGCATGATCTCCTTTTTTTCAGCTGGATCTAAAAAAAACAAACACTAAGCACATTCGTGTCTGCCACCCCCTAAGCGATGTGAGGATTGTTTCTCATACCTTCAATAAGATAGATTGATACATGCAGTAAAAGCGCTGAACCCTTCTCAGACATCTCCCCTTATTACTTTTGGAGGACAGACTCTAATAAGGCAGGTTCCCAGATGCCACTCAGCATGCAAGCTTTTCGCCTGATCACCTTGCCTGCCCAGTGAACTTACTGAGATTTATAATCACACAAGCCATCAAGAATGGTTTCTGGGGTGTAAAGAACCGAGTCAATCTCTTCACTCGGCTGCCTGTGGACCGCACGCCATTCCCGTTCAAATGCCCGACAAAGTTTAACAGGATTGCAGCTTAAACCCCTTAGTGCCACTCTCTCTGCCCAGTCTACAGCTCCAGCACCCCCGGCAGGAATAAGCTGCTGCAAACTGAGGGCCACGGTAAACCCACAGCAGCAAAACGTCCCGAACAGCTGTGCAATATGAACGACATGTTTCTAAACCCCGAGATGGGTGAGGCCCCCACACATCAAATCGCTGTTTCCAGCTATTCAGAAGGCCTTGGAAAACCTAACAAACGTTACGTCAGACTCAAGACAGCCCCTCGTCTTGGTTTACACGACACAGATTGCTTCAAGTCTCGACAGATTCCATGAACAACTTAAGGTGCTTCTGATGCAATGTGCTGTGAGCATTTTCTCCTGCTTCCTGGGACATCACCTCGTCTCTTAACAAAACCACAGCAACTCAATGGCTCTTTGGCCCCTTGACTCCATACCTGGCAGGCATCTTTCTAGCAAAAGTACAGTTATCATAATGAAATGGGGTTCCTGCATAAACCACAACGGCAGGTGGGGCTACCTATAAAGCACTTTGAGTGGAGTGTCCAGGAAAGCGCTATATAAGTGTAAGGAATTATAATTAAATTGTGTGATGCATGTGGTTTACCAATTTATGATGCTTTGACTCCACCAGGAGAGATGAATGTTGTTACATAACTATGACACATAGCAGGTCAGCCTGCTTTTGTTCCCCTAAAATATGTTTTGATTCCTTCAGGTTGCTTTTCGCAACGCTTTGCAAACTGTGCTGATCCCCCAAGTCACTCTCAGCCAGCAGAACTGCAGTTCCACCTTCCAGGTGCGTTCATTCGAAAGAGCTAAGCAGACGCCAAAAACAAACGCTGAAAAAAAATCACATTTTTGACAACAAGTCTGTACTCCAAGTTCCAAAGCAACACGTTAATTCTGGACTTGACTTCCATTTTTAGAAAAATCCAAAGCTAATCACATCAGAGGGGTATACTCATTTTTCTGCTACAGGCCAAAATCTTTGTTATGCAATCTAAAATCGTACCACTGGGTTACAAAAACTTGAGGGTTTCGTAGGTGATACATGGTTTCAATTAAAGAGAACAGCCCCAGCTTTGGTCACACACCAAACCAGCATGTACAAATAAGCACAAAAGACTTGACTGAACTACTTACCCAGGCCATAGCTTAAAACCATGTTTCCAGAATTCAGGGCTTCGTCAAACTTGCTCAGGATCACTTGCAGTCTAAGAACAGGCAAAACAAGGGGAAAAAAAATCAATCCAGATCTAAAAAAAACGTACAGTGTACGCAGATGTGTTAATTGTATTATTGAGCTAAATAAAATGCCTTCCTTAGAGATTTGGCTTTGGAGAATTCTGGTGCACAAAATAAGTGTGCCGTCACTATTGGCTTCACCATTACCACCACCGTCTACAATACGGTCTGGTTTTCACAATCTGTTTAGACCATTTAAAAAGACCCTCATAGCTGGTAACAACTGTCAGAACAGTAGTACACGGTCAATTAGTCCCAAACTTAATTGGCTGCACAAGTCATCTATTCCAAATGACAGAATGCAATGAATAATGAACCCGAAAATCACAGAGACTTGACCTAAAATCCTTAAAGGATCATCTGAAGTACCAGGCATACGTCTGAATGCACTATTACGAATCCAGGGCACACATTAACACTAAACTGGTTTTGCCTTTTAAAATAACGGGGCACCTCAAACCTTACTTCTACCATCAGAGCACCTTAGACCTGCCCCCAGTTGGGACGGAGGACCCAACTGTGAACATCAGGGAAATTAACACACGAGATTAAACGGATGTGGAAGGGCGGGAAAGCAGGATGGAGGGGCAATTTTGATGCAAGGCATATCTGAACAAGCAGCTGGAAAACAGGTGGATGGATGTGCTCTGGAGCGTCAAGGCTGCAGGACGAGGGAGATGGATCGATGGACGAACTAGGAAATGCCATCAACAGACCTGAAAACCTCATTAAGCTAAACCCTCGGTAGACTCCTCCAAAGCATTTATAAAAGGGTATATACACACTTGTGAGAGGTTATTTTATTTTACAAAGATACTGTCACGCTGGGTGTCCCTTAAACTGCTCCTCTCCCGTCCGTCATAAATAGCTGCTCACTGTATTTAACGATACACGTCCCAGCCTTCGGTCCCGGCCTCGCCCAGCCTGGCTGCCTTCAGTAAAACACACCACAGCCAGGATCCGCAACCAGAGGCGATGTCGTCGCCGGTATCAATGCGGAGCACAACGGGTGGGCCCTCTTTTCCCCAGGACATTGCGATTCAAAGTAAATTCACAGATTTGCCAGCTGTCTGGTCAGTTCATCTCCTTCTCCCCTTTCCACACCGATCACTGTGTTCTGGACTTATCGATTAGCCAGGCTTCCCAAACACACCCTGAGGGGACGGTGGGCTGAACACCAGATTAGTAGGTTACATCATGTGAAGGCAACCAAGGTCAAGCCAAGGAAAATAAAAACAAAATCCAGCTAAATCCCACCTGTTTCCGCCCCCTTGTGGAGAGGGTCTGGTACTACTTGTGACGATGCGTACCCCCCCAAAAAAACATGGACATTATTGTTCAATTTCTACCTGTTTATGAAGACATTCAGTTAAGGGAAGATCAGTATAACTAAAGGTGGCATCGTTTCTTTTAAGCTACAGAAGCCCGGTAAAGAAAATTCCACTCTTCCTCAATCAATTCATTTAACAGCTTAATCTTCACTTTCATAAACACGAAAGCGAAGGGAGAGGTTTTCTACCTCCGATCTACTTTTATGCGTGGTGCACTCCCACGCCCACGGAAGTAACAGGTGTCTAACACCCAGCGGCAAATCTGAACTATTACCACGACCGTTTCCCTCGCCCTTCTCCGTGTTAAACGGAGTAAAACCAAGTTAAAAAAAAACAACTATAAAATGCTAAAAGGAAAACTTTCCACTGCGACTGGCAATTCCCAAGGAAAACGGGAACCCCCACCAGCGAAGGGGAATATAAACTTTCCGGACTGTTTAGCCCTTGTTGTGTTATTGGACTTTTAAACGGAAAACGAGACGCTTCCAATAACGAGGAAGAGCGGCGCTCCGATTTCTTCGACGCGAAAAAACGCGAGTGACGGGGAGCGAGATCTTCTCGCACCGGTCACGACACAGCCCACTCCGCGCCCTTCCACGGGCTCTCGTTTCCGAAAACAGACAAGCATGTTAATCATAAAACACGTCCCGAGTTCAAAAGTCTTTTTTGGGGGGGGGGGTTGTTGTGGTATAAGGGGGCTGCTTCTCTTTTCCACCTTTCAAACAGTTTGCGAGACAACTAAACCACCCGGACAGATGTGGTGATAAAAGGGTTTACCCGTATGGGTCAATATTTCCATCACTGAAGGAAATTATTTGCAATAACGCTACTGACTTTGTTTTTTAATTTCAAATAATTTCTCGTTTCCAAAAACAGAAAAGAATTCTAATCATAAAACACGTCCCCAGTTCAAATTATTTATTTTTTTGGTTGTTATATAAGGGAGCTGCTTTTCTTTTCCATCTGTTACTGTATATATTATAAGGCGGCTGCTTCTCTTTTCCACCTTTCAAACAGTTTGCGAGACGACCAAACCACCCGGACAGATGTGGTGATAAAAGGGTTTACCCGTATGGGTCAATATTTACATCACTGAAGGAAATTATATGCAATAACGCTCCTGATTTTCGAAAAGCATAACGTCATCCCCGAGCAGTCTTTTCTCTTTACTAGGGCACCCCCCACTGGGCTCCTGCTGGATTTTGTTTTTTAATTTCAAATAAGACAGCAACGAAAGCCTATAATAAAGACGAGAATTTCAAGACAGAGCAGTGCTTAAAACATAAAAGCGCTTACGGGTTCTCCTAAATACCGCAGAGAAGCAGTTTTGGCTTGTATGAATCTTTTGTTCCCCTGCCGCTCTGTAGTGGCTTTGTTTTCAGGGACTGGTGATAGACTCCAGTTTCGGCAATGTCTATTATAATTCTGGAGATGTCAGCATGAACTACTGTACAGCAATCATTCTGACCACCTACATGTACGAATGTTTAGGGGTAGTGGATGTTCTCTATTGCCTGTACTAGTATTAGTAAGGGGAAATGTTAGATCTGTAATGCTGTACACCCCAGTATGCAACTGCCTCAATTATTAAGCAGTCTGAGGGAACACTCCAGCTCGGGGGTCGTCCCCATGACACATCTGAAGTGTTGTAATGCAAACCACTCAAATACCTTAAAGACCAGGGCTCTCACCTGGTCGGTATATTTGTAGTTTGCCATCACAGCACTACACAGAGCTTTCTAGGGGTAAAAGAGTGTTATAAACATATCGGCAACGTTGAAGGTTTAGTACATTGATGTACAGTATTTCTCTAAAGAGGGTGTTCTCTTACAGGTGACTGCAACAGGTGCACAGAACATCTTTCATTTTAGCCCTATGAACCAAAAACACTCCAGGTACATGCAGAATAAGCGGAATTCCACAATAAACATACACTAAGTGTGTAAAAACCGCTGTATTACCTGGAAGAAACTGGCGTGCAGTAAGAAATAAAACCGTAACTTAATCAATGTCAAAGGTTTTGACGGAAGAAACACCTTTGACTCAAAATGCTCTTGGAATGGAAAAGTACCATTCTAGTCAAATACCTTACAGGCTTCTGTTCACTGCAGAATATTCTGAGAAAGCTGTTCACAATACCCTGTGGGACTGCAGTCCCCCTTTAAAATACCTTAGCAATTTATTGATTTAGTGCTATACTGAAAAGTGAACTATACATCCATATGCACAGTTATACCTCCAGTGCATCAATGTACTCATTATAGCTGTGTGGACTGGAACACCTGGGGCATGTTGTTCTTTCTAAAATACCCGTTTACTACTGTTGTTTTTTATCTGAATGTGTCGAGCAGACCGTGCATATAAAAAATATAAATTGCTACGTCAAAGCGTCATTACTGCAAGATTTAAAAGCCAGGATGTGTGAAAACTGTGCAAGGGTCTGAATCCTTTTGCAATGCACTGCAAGTGCAATTATTCATTTCAACAACTTGTCAGACTACGAAAAAATGTCTCTCCGACCTGACACAGATAAAATCATGAATTTTCCATCTGCTCTTGCAAAAGCTTTGCAAAATATAATTGGGTGAAGAAGCGTCAAATGAAGCACCTTGCGCAAGTGAAACGGTTTCGATTTCCCAAATACCAGACGTGCTCAGCAGACACATCCATAAAACCTTGATTCACTGCGTAATTCTTGGCTCCACTGCAAAACAACAGCAATTGCTCCTAGATAATGATGGCATGAAGATGCAGTTTGATTCAACTGCGTATTTGCTCCTTTTTGTGTTCTTACTTGATTTAACCTCTTGAATATCAACCCCAGCAAAAATTATATCACCCCCTTGTACTGATGAGATGATTTAGTGCATTACGGTCAATTGCAAACGATCAATGAAGCACAGAGTCGCCCAAAACATTCCAATCAAAATTCAAGATCAGCAAACTTTGTTTAAATAAACACATCCGAAGACTGAAATACCTTCTGATACCCCTCGTGTTGAACTGCCGACAGTGACTGGCATGCAAAGACATTGAGGTTATATGCTCTACATGCATTCATGCGTGAAGCAGACAAGTATGGCGGTCGTGATCAACATGAAAACTGGGGGAAAAAATGAATCATTTAAGTGGAAAAGATGCTTTTATAGTTCACAGCACAGTATGCGAGCCTACAAGAGTACACAGATCCAATTAAGTTGTAGGTGTTGCCGTCACAGTTCAAGAATACTACAGGAACGTACCGTGCAGCTGGGAGGCCTCTCCTGCTGAGGTCGGCTCTCACTTTCTCTCCCACATGGCGATACACATCCACGACTGCTGCTATTGCAGTTTCTCTCACCTAGAAACAGAGGGATCACAGAGAAGCCTTGACGTATTCATCTCACTTCCCTTTACAAGGCAAAGAATAAATATCCCCCCAGATTTCCCGGACCTCTGAAGCGTTTAGGACAATTTAAAAGATGCCTACCACTGCCTGACTCCTCATCTTACAGCCGACTCACAAGTCCACATCACGTTTCCAGTGGGTGTATTGTACAAGAAGATTACAGCTTCCATAAATGAAAGTAAAAAAGGCGAAGTGCTGATTTTTTCTTTTACAAAGTATAATGAAGAATAAAGTACATGAATGTAGGCTTTCATTATGGCTATAACCTAACCAACCCAAACTTTTCCTAAGAAGTAAAGGAACTGACAGTAAAAGTTGCTTAGCTTTTGCAGTTCACTGCTTTTATACCATTTCTCTTTGGTTTCGTTTGGTCATTTGTAATTCTAAACATCTCCAACTGAAGGACAGTTTAACTGAGAAAAGCGTCTTATGAGGTTTACACCCAGCTCCGCCCACAGTAAGCGACTTGTGGCTCGGCACTAATCACTAATAAATGAAGAGAAACAGTGCGAGCACTTTGTGAATATTCAAATTACGTCAAGTCTGGGGGGGAGTCTCCCCAATGCAGCACAGGCAGAAAGGCATTATAAAGAGCTGCCGGAACCCCTGCATCTGCCTTTTAAATTATATACCTTCAGCAACTTTATAATGTGCTGCGTCCTAGTCAGAGAACTTCAACAAGCCTATTTTTCCACTTAACCTGACAAATCACTTTGAACAAAGAAAAATGTGTTTATACTTGGTGGCTGCTATGCAATTGCCAAATATTAGATTGTAAAAGAGCCAAGTTTTATGTGACAAGTTTACCGCGGTTTTAGCAAAGCAGGAGACGTCTCATTCCTGCCAGTGCTGTCCACATACCGGCTCATGATAACAGCCCTTATGAATTAATCTCCCTGCAGAGCCCTGCTTGGACACACCTGCCATGTTATAGATGTTGATATTCATGACCGTGCCTGCTTTATTCAAGGGCCACTTTACATCTCCGGACTTTAACCTGCAGTACATCTTTTAACAACATAGCTGTCAGAGGAGGATAAGGGGATATTTAATTTGAGCAAGACCAAGGGAGTCTCACACTAATTCTGGGTTATGTATCGAAATGAGTCATACCGGCTCTTTTGCTGACACTGCTGTGTGGGCAGCAGTAATTGAGGGGAGATGATAATTATACACAAGCACAGAGAACCCCCTGCAGGGGTATTACCAACTACCTTTATGCCTTTTACAGATCGTTGAAACAACTATTTTATTCTTATGCTTTTATGGGTGGCGGGTGATCTATGTCAAAATACAGGACGGCTATCTCTGGACTCGAACCCAGTGAAGGTGCAGCTTCTAAATTAAACAGATCCGACAGTTTACAAGTATTTTCAATAGTGCAGATGAGGCTGAGACCCTGTGGGTGAAAATCAGGATAGTTCAAGGCAGCCTGGGGCTCTGGGCAGGAGCAGCCCACTGTCGCAGCAAGGAGGATCACTGTGAGAACGACCCACACTCCTGCACACCTGTTTCTGCGACGTGGACTGGGGTCTGTGCACTTTCATTAAGGTGTGGATTCATGTGGTCAACCTTTGCATGGAGTGCCAGGTGTGCTGGCGAGCCCAGAAGCTCCAGTTTCCCCGAGCTGTCATGAGAAAACCCTGTTACTGAAGTGTCTGACCCGTTGAGGAGGTCAAGGGTGAAGTGAAGGATACTGGTCTCACCTGAGCGTTCGAGTCCTCGGCCAGCGTGCACAGGAACGGAACGATTTTGCTGAGGGTTAAAGGCTGGGCCCCACACCTGGGAGGGACAGAAAAATTGGAGATGGGACACAGCACCCAGACACGTGGGGAAGGGACCACCGCACGCGATGGGCTCGGGTTCGACACGCCTCCGTTGCTCAAAACATCCGAACTACGGACTGGCCTGGCCTGGCATCATCAGGAGAAGGTGGCTCCAGACTCACTGGGTTCAGGGAGTTGCTCACTCAGAGGCGCCGACATCTAACCTTTGCTCGGCAAGCTTGTGAATGTTTTTAGTGTTAAAGGGGAACCGCAACGCTGTTTTTTTATATTTTGGGGTTAGAAAGAATCGGCATTGATGAGTGCATTTCAAACTACAATGAAAGTCAAATGCACACAGTAACTTGTAAAACCTCCAATTAACATCACAAAATAGACAATTTCCAGGTATGCGCAGTGTCATGTTCTCAGATTCAGATTCTGGTGACATGAAGCTGCCATATCGCACTGTAAATCAGCAAATACACCTCCTTAAATCTCATAGAAGTGTTGCTCTCGATTTCAAGACGGTTCTGCAGACAAATAATATCTACTTGTTAACTCTGCATGCAGATCACACTGGAACATTTCTGCTGTGAAATGTCTGCTGTACAAACTGTACTTATTCGCTCGTACATCACATTACGAGTAATTCAATCTAACCAAAAGCAATCAAAAACAACCACAGGAAAAACATAATAATAACTACAACATGAATTATTATTATAGTCCCACCTGTATGAGATTTTTGAAATCCAAAAGAAACACTCAATACGGTCCAACCTACTATGTGGTGTCAATTTTTTTCTGCTTTAAATGAACATATTTCTCCAATCACTTTGAGAAACAGCACAGTAATTCTAAATGTGAGCCACTAACACCATTGTATTGTGCAGAATGGGTCTCACACAAAGTTGTGCGTTTCTCAACTGAATGCAAAGGACTACACATGATGTAAACTGCAACTCCTGTTTTACTTGTCCTCTTTAAAAATACACTCCAGGCACACACATATGCGTTAGATTTATAGTTTTCGATGAACATTGATATTACTGGAGCAGAAGCAAACGAACAGTTTGAAACTTCCATGTACTCACGTGTTTAAAGTTGCAATGAGACAGAGGCACAATGCTTCTCGACACCGGAAGTTCTTGTGTTTGAAGCCAGGGAGCAGTCTTTCCCAAACATACTGTTGGGAGAACAAAACAGTCGTGTCAACCAGCTGTACCAATATCAGCACCGGTCCGTTTTTCCTCAAGTTCCTCCTTTGCAACTTTCGAGTCCGATGATGAGACAAGACAACCTCCACCGTCTGAGATCCCTCAGCCGGGGGGGGGGGGTGGGTGGCGGAGAGAGCAGGGAGGAGTGGTTTATTCACGGAGGAATGTCAGAAGCTCCTGACAGACCTGCTGGAAGAAGGGTGGGTGGGGGCATCATGGTGACCATAGTGGTCACCGCTGAGCTGGTCAAACCAACTGGGGGGGACAGTGGAAGCGAAGTAATACAGAGACCAAGAACCCCTCCTGCCCAGACCGAAGACAACCTCACTGCTCAGCAGCGCGATGCTTCTGCACGTCAACCTCAAAGGACAATGCAAGACACCAGCGCATAGCGATTACAACGACATAACCAGCAGCCATATCACCCTGCAACTCACAAC